ACGCAAGGCTCTTCTGACCATGGAAGCACCCCAGGTCGAGGTGGTCGTTTGAAATGAGTCCTATACTGCTAGATGTACTCTTGGATGGTGATCTTAAATCCGCTTTCCAAGTTTGCCGAGCGATTATCTGAATGGAGTTATGAGGTGATTTTAAGGAGGCCTAACATGAGCGAACTTAAATTACATGGATATGACAAGTCTGCCAGGACAGGAGCAGTAGTAAGTGTGACATTTCATAATCGAGAGACTAGTGTTCCGGTTTTGTCGGATTTCGCAATGTATTGAGTTTTTCCTTGTAGCCTAAAAAGTTGTTTTATGTTGATTTTGCCGTGTTCTGCGAACTTCTGATAGTTGTAATGATAACGTTCTCACCTAAATCATGAAATATCGCCAATTTTTTTCATTTCTCTTCACGCTATATTCACATTGGGGCGAATGCGGTGTAGTACCATGACACAGGGGCGCACCATGACACATGGTCCGGAGATGGCACTCCGTTTGGGCCAACCAAGCTTTTCATCCCTCATGGGTTGGGTTGGTTAATTGGTACCAGACTCGTCTGGGTGGATGAAAGCACTGACCTGTACACTGGATGGTCACCGCGAATCACTGCATAGACCATATACACATTCTACCGTCACTAAGAGTGTAATAGAGTGCGTGGCGCATCCCAAATGCAGAATCGAACTGCAAAGACTTGATTCTGTCAATCCTCTATATTCACGATGAAATTCGGAACGATACGCACACTCCGTAATCTTTGGCCCCAATAGATCGCAGGAATGTAGATGAAGTAATGCTGCTGCTCTCTGCAACCATCCACGCTTTCGCCATTATGCCTTGCCTTTTCATTGATGGCTTCATTTGGGCCAAATGTCTTTCATGGTTTCAGAGTGTGTACAATCGTGCGTGGCAGCCCCGAACGCTTACCTCCACAAAAGGGTTTGAAGTTAATGAACATCCCGTATGAATGAACAGGGTTGACACAGCCAATCACAGCTCCTTCCTTGGCCGTTCGAAAGAATGATCACCACCTCACACACAATAACTCGCAATGTGAACTTTGCTTATTCACTCGTGACTTGGCTCACTACCTTCTGCCCACTTTCAGTTCTGTGCTGTTAGATTTGGAGACTTTATGACACGTCTGCTACTTAAGCACTAACCACGGCCATTTTGTCACGCACACACAATTCTATTTCCACCTACATGCACAAAAAATTGAAGCGATATTGTATGGTTTGGGTAAGAACGTTGTTACAACAACTATCAGGATGTCGTAGAACGTGATAAAATCAACATGAAAGGAATTTCTAGGCTTCAAGGAAAAAAACTCAATACAATAAAACCCCATAAAATCTGAACCCAAGTCTCTTGATTATAAAGTGCCACCCTTACCACTACTCCTTTCCGCCGCCAGTAGACTTATAACATCCATATAATTTGAGTTCGCTCATGTTAGGCCTCTCTTAAATCACCTCATAACTCCATACAGAGAATCGATTGGCAAATTTTGAAAGCAGATTTGAGATCAGCATCCGAAAATACATCTAGCAGTATAGGTCTCATTTCAAACGGCTACTTCGACTTGGGATCCTTCCCTGACAAATGAAAAACGTGAATGCACTGGTGAATAATGATAAACTTACCACGTAACGTTTTACGCGAGTCACGTTTGGAATCAACACGTGACCGTTTCTTCGGAAGCATTAGTACACCATCATTCGTGCACAACAGTGGAAGACTAGGAATCCGCTGAAGAAATACGAGAGTATCTATATGTCGACAATTTCATACTCATCGCGAACTCGCCAGCAGAAGTCTGAAAGAAGGCGGAACAAGGGCGAGACATTTTCGATGACATGGAAATGAATTGAGACAGTTCCTAACCACAGTTGGTCCTATCTTATCGTAGGGCCAACTAGTGGGGAAAATCACCGACGTCCTCGCTATACGTCAAGTTCATTCTTTGATGGAAAGGTTTTGGGGAGCGTTCAGTATGAATGATCACATGCCGTAACGTCTTAGGTTCAGAAGTCAGAACGATGAACGACCTAGCAGAGGAGCTGAGCAGATTGGAACAAGCGGCTCGAAGTGCATATAGGAACATCAAAAGAGTATTGAAAAGGACAAAGAACATTCGGCTGCGCCCTCTCCTTTTCGACACTCCTTCCTGCTTTGACATACGCCTTGGAGACCTGGACTCTATGAAAGCAGAATAGGCATGTCGTAAGTGTCATTCTGGTCGCTGTCAAAGGGGTATGGAGGCTTACGTGCGTCCGAGGATGCGCGTGTGCGTGGTGATTCGAACGACTCTGACGCCTATCATTGGGGTCCAAACTCGAAGTAGAGCAGTTCAGTAGGGTCAGCTGATACTACTAATCTACTCTGCTTCAAATTTGGGCCCCAATGATAGGCGCCAGAGTCGTTCTCATCACCACGCACTTCGCCGCGCAATTTTCTCGGACGCACGTAAGTTCCGTCCCCCCTATGAAGGGGATGCTCAAAATTTCTTATTAAACGCAAGTGCAGAGGGAGTTCCGTAGTTTCAGAATCTTTCGTCTAGCGGTAGTTAGGTGTCGACGTTGCGTTGTGTGCAACCGCGTGAAGAAATGGCTACAGTAAACGAAGAATGCCAAGGATTGCGTCTCTTTCAAAGGGACTGCATGCATTCAACTTTTTGAATCTCCATTTGTTGTTTTTTCTACTCTTTCATTTTACTTTGTTATTATTATTACTTCTATGTTGCACTACACGTTGTTTCCTCTGATCACTTGCTTGAATTTCAACATATCTGCTTCATTGCAAATAATACAGCCTCTGTAAGGCCGCTAAACACTGTAGGCGTGGTATAGGCACGACCAAGGACCTCCCGATCTGCAGTCGAATGCTCTATCACAGAGCTGTACCCAACAATTCAAATCATCTACAACAGATTAGATTCTTTTTACAACTGATACATATTTCCCTGAACAACCCCACACATCCCCGAACCTTAAAACATTTCGAAAACATTTTTGAGTTTTCTCTGCGCCCTATCAAGACTGTTTTTGAAGAACTTACATACCTAATATGGCATAATTGTGAGTGACAGATTCACACTATGTAAAAAAGGAAGCTTCCAAAAAACAGTTTCAAGGTGAATTGTGCCCTCGAGATTATTTTGTATGGGACTTGCACATCTTCACAGTTCGACTTATGTTTTCTCCCGAGTGCCACAGTGTACAAAAAAATTTATTTTTGCAGTCTTATTACAATAAGTTTGACAAACATCCGCTCGTCGTTGGACTATTCTTTGTTCTGTCCTTGTTCACCGTGTTTTACACTCGGTAGTCTTATGATATGATAGGGAAGTGAATACGGAGTACTTAGAAGTACTCATGACCTTTGAGATATTTGTGGCTCGTCACGTGTCTTGCACAAAATTCGCTAAAATTTCTCATTATGAGGCTTTCAGAATCTTTTCACCGTTTGCAGCACGTAGTATTGTTTAGCCACTGTTTAATGAAGCTAGCCTATGCAGGATTCGTTGAGAAGTCTGATTGGAATTTTCTAAAGACAGGAGAAAGAACGTGGTCCCTCATCTGTTTACGCTAACCTTGTTTCACAGTGTCTTATCGAATTGAAGGCACAGTTCACGGTAGTATTGAGGTACCCTTTTTAGGTGGAAAAGTGGATGTGTTGATGTAGAGGAGTACATCGGTGGAGAAAAAAGCAAGAAAATCCGCCTACCTCAAGGCTTTTCAAAAGTAGTTAAGGTGGAGGTTGTACGAGATCACCGCGGCAGGAGTGGCATGTAAGGGGTGTTTGGACGTGGTTTAACGTGCCCCCATCGCGCAAAGAGATGACTATATCAAGCCGAATTCCTACATGGGAGCCTCTTGAGATAGTGCAATCTCCTCAACGCCGTTGAAACTCGTCCACGATGGGTGTGGCATTCACATGATGCAATCTCTGGCCCCTTACTGTGCCATATCCATGACGTTTTTCGACATCAAAACATCAGGTATGGTACAAGAGGGAGCCTCCAATTCATACTATAGAGAAATCCCGGAAACCATTTTTATCGTGCCCTGAGCCTTCAAAATTCGATTTAAGTATGATTTTATGGAAGAAATGATTGTTTTTGTGCTCAAACTAGTGCGAGGTCTCCTGACCTCTTGTAGGGGTTCTAAAAATGAATCAAAAATATCTGTTCTGGGACAAATTGTTGCTTAAAATTATGCCTACAATTTGTGTACCATACTAGAGTGACTCTACGAACGAACGATTGGTGACGAATAGCGAGAACGAGCCTTGTAGTCGACCCCTATTTCACTGGATCAACCGGATGGTGAGAAGAGAGAAGGTGGTCGCAGTGCCTCACCAGCAAAGCCTGTTAGGTTGAGTCCTGTCTGGATTTAATCACTTGACATCGGCTGGTGGTGGAACATACACGGTAAACAGGAGTGATTCATCTCAAATAGATGGCAAATGGCAAATAACAATATGAATACAACCAGGTTCTTCTCGTTGCTTCGCCATTCCTATTCGTTTCGCTTTCCCCTCCCCTCCCCCAAAATTAAAAGCAAGCCTTTTACCACGTAGTGGACAAATAACAATAAAATGTTTGGAATGAAATTCATTCAAGTCACTATGTACAAAAGTCAACATTGCATTAATATCCATCCAAACACAGGACGGCTTGGTCATGAGATCAAGGGCAAATAGCCATCGTTGAGAGATCGGCTCATCGGTAGGGATACTCTCCTCTCGACGCTTTTGCCTAGATTCCGCTGCGACCTCGTCGTTGAAGAACCTGAAAAACAATATACATTCCTTGCCAAATATATCTCAGTAGTCTATTTTGGAAAAGAAAGCAACGCTAGGGTTGTTCTTGGGTTCTGGGTTTTTCTTGGGTTTGGTCGTTTTCGTAACTGTCTAAAGGGCCAGGGAACAGCTGAATGCCGGAAGACTATCAATGTCAGGGCAGATAGGTGATTATTCGAATAGTCAAAATATGAACGCAATGGAGTAGAAAGAGGTCTTCATTCTCGAAGGAAGAACAGACAGAATGGAGAAG